GTGCTGTAACGCCTGGGTTAAGTTTCTTGCGCGGGTGGGGCGGTCCTTCGGGCCGTCCGCGTCTGAGGCGTTCTTCGCTAGCCTGGGTGGTCAGCTGGGTTCGTTAGCAGCAAGGAGGTCGCTGTAATTTCCAATAAATGGCGACTTGCTGATTGATATCAGAAGATCCATACAGCAGTAAACAATACCATTTACATTTAATTAGTTGTATTGAACCAAAGGCGCTTTTATTTGTAATGAAGTGCATGTTATGGTTAAGAATGTATTTTAATGATCTTTAAGTAAGGTGAACAAATGTTGCCCTTGACCTAGGAGAGGAGGGTTTTCTATGTTATTGATAACTTTGCGATGATTTTTAAATTGTGAGATGCAAAAGAGAACATTTTCATTATTGTGCCGTCATCAATTTCCTGACTTTCAGTGTAGAAGGATGAAATGCTTTTTTCTAAATTACTATTTTCAACTATGAGATAATTAAATGCGTGTAAAAATGGTTTTAATCTCATATACTGTTGTAGAAAGACAATTTTTGTTGCTTGAGATTCAAGTCTTTCATATAGTTTCTTTAATCTAGAACTGTTACAATCCCCCTACCCAAGTGTTGCTGTTTTTTTTTTTTCTTGAGTAAGAAGATAACTGAGGTCATTTGCCCTCGCTGTTTCCTAAAAGCAACGTAATTTTAGGTCTAGAATACTGTTTCCATTTAACATTTCAGTAGAACTGTTTGGCATCAGTGAACCAGTTCAAAGCTTATAATATGAAAATAGTTCTTTACTGAAGCTGAATTTTACAAAGATCAAGTCCCTCATTAGTTAAATCATTAATAAAAAGTAGTTTATGTTCTGTTTTGGCTTTTTTTAATATAATTAAATCCTTTGTTTAAGGTGATTTCCTTTCTCTCTGCTTTTATGTAGGGATAAGCAATGATATAACCTAACCCGGTAAACTTTTTTTGCTCAGTGAGCAGAAGTTGTATTTACATGCGGTGTTGTGTACAGATCTTGATGTCTTCTTGTTAAATTCACCTTTGTGACATCTTCCAAGAAACTGAGATGCAAAAGGTACAGCTTCTGCTGCTGGGAAAGCAGCGCTGGGTGAAGGACCATCTTTGTACTCTTACAGTAACCTTTATTGTTGGCTGCGGTTCATATGTAATCTGTCTTCTATAACTGCATTATTCTTTGAATTTCTCTTTCTTTCGCTTGTGTTATGAAACTTCAGTTACTGTATTTTATTGGCCTGAAGATGATGTCCATTTGGAGTACAGAGCATTGGGCTACAGGAGAAAAAAAGTCCTTATCCCTTTTCTTTAGCCTAATAATGAAAAAAATACTTCAGAAAGCTACTGAGCATGTGTAATATGCTTGCATGTCTTTTTTTTCTGCTACTCATGAATGAAATGAACTACCACCTTGGATTTCTCTCAGAGCACCGTGGTTTTCTGGTTTTAGGGAAAAACATGCACTTTCGGAATGCTCTTCTGGTTCTAGTTTGTGGCATGCCAGAGTAATGCCACAGATGTGTAGCGAATGTGCAGGTCTCAGTTTTTCAGAAAGAGAAGTGAGTGTGCTTCGAAGTTGAAATTAAGAAAATAAGAAAACATGAAAGTTTAGGTGCCAGATCAGAAATGCAAAAGGAGAACTAAAACATAAAAAGAAAAGACACCAAAGGAATGTGGTAGAAATTTTTACGTTTAAAATGTAACAAAGGAGACCCCTTTCAGTAGAAGAAAGTAGAAAGATTAGAAACCAGGAAGATATATTACTGTACAAATGCCAGTATACTTAAAAAGTTGGGTATTTCTGCTTCCTTGTATTCTAATGTTGCTTCCCACTACAACATTCCTTGAAAAGAGAGAAGTTCTTGGTTGATGCATTTCACTAGCAGTTTTTATTGTGCATAGGAGTATGTGTGTGGTATTAGTTTTCTGCTGTGCTATCCGCTACTAAGAGACTCTGTATTTTTCTTTGCATAATGAAGTGCATAATAGCCTGGATTAGCTAAATTGTAGGTGATAACAGGTTGGAAAGAAGTGAGTGATGAAGATATAGGACACCACACGAGTATTAGTTTCATATGAATTATTTCTCGTGAACCCGATGAAAGTAGGTTGGAAGAACAAGGATGCAATGAGTGAACGTCATGTGAAAGACTGCAATAAATGGCTAACGGTTTAAGATAAAGATAATTTGTGAGAGTAATGTTTGGATTTGATTCAAGTTCTAAACAGCATATGAAATACAAAGTTGTTTTTTTGCAAGGTATGAAGTGAGAGATTTCTTCAGAATATAAATAGAAATAAAAATTCATTATTTATAGAGCTACGCAGTTTTAAACTGAAGTCAGACATGTTTGATAAATGTACAATAGATTTAAATCATTCATTTTGATCTGGAAAAGTGGAAAAAAGATGTTTTTCAAAAATCTGTAGCCATTTTATTGGAGAAACAAAAGGATACAAGTGTGTCAGATTTTAAGACATCAACAGAGATTGCAAGATTCATCCAGTAATAACCCAAATAGTTAGGCAGTGCCTACGGTGCGAAGGTAGACACTCTTGCATTTCGTCAGAGGTTATGATTCTTAAATCAGCTGGGATTTAGTATCAAGCATCTTCTCCTCTTGAGAGTAGAAATTGGATCGTGGATCCATAATGAGTGGTATACTTGTGTTGAAATCTCTTAGCTGCTGTTGGTCCCGACCATCTAAAAAGCACCAGGAGGTTTGCTTTTCTGATGAGAAGAAAGTCCTTTGTATCAGGTCTTTAACAATTATTCTGTGGTATTCTTTCTGTGGGAGGTGGGTGTTTCAGAAGAGTTATCTGTTTAAATAATTGTTTCAGAATTTTAAGGTGATCCTCCCTGGGTCTTAAGGGACATCAGATTTTTTTTTTTCCCTTTCCCTCTTTGTACCGTACCACCATCTATTTGTAGAGCCTGCTCCTGTACTATCTTATTCTCTTAGCGTGCAGTACTTCTTACTGTAGTATCTTATTCTTACTGTCGTCTCTTGCTTTTTCAGGTTTTAGGGCAGGAATGTGCATGGGCTATTTGCTGTCACAAGTGGTACTACCACCTGTATTAGACCTAATTTTATCACACTAGTTTAGTGTTATCCCTGACTTTCAAGCATTTGAGGAATCCTGTTGATGTATCCAGGCTCTCTTGAAGTGGATGGGGTTTTCTCATGGGTTGACTGCAGATGTGCTTGAGCATTTAAGAGAACTGGAATCAAATTCATTGTTTCCTCTTGTATTCAGTTGACTTTCTCCTTGCTGGAGAAGTATTTTGTTTCCAGTTTCATTAAAAATAAAAACAAAACAAAAACCATTTTATTTTTAAAGGAACAGATATATGGAAAATATTTTAAGATTATACTATTATAAATTAAAATGGGGCTGTTAAGAGAAAGTAAATTAGATACATTTGTAACATGAGTTAGAATTTTTAAAACCGTTTAGTGTTTGAACTGTCAACGCATTTAGAGTATCATCTTGCATCTGGTTCCTTTCTAGCAAGATGTACTGAAAAAACAGCATGTTTCTTGGTTGAGTAAAAATTTCATGAACTTAACTTGGGATGGGTGGAGGAGGTCATAATCGGGAGCCTGTACCACTAAAATGTCTTCAAAATATGTGATTAAATTTAAGTAATAATAAATACATTAATCTGTTTTACAGGATCTCTTTTCAATCAATGCTTATGTTTATGCCCAGAAGCCACAGCTGGATATTCACAGTTTCGAGGGTACCTTCACACGGGTAAGTAGTGTATGTAAATCCAGTTCTACTTCTCTCATCCATTTCTCATTGTAAGTGAAACCTATACTTAGTGTCAGTTGTATCAGATCTCTCCTTAGCTTTACAGCAGTATTTTTTTCCATGTTCCTGCCATGGCAATACTTAATATAAAAGATATCGTGGTAAATATGTATTGCAGAAAGCTAATACAAAGAGAATATCTGAAAAAAGCAGGCTCCAAGAATTGGATATTTGTTCACATCAATATAATCTTTTTATATGAAACCATTTGTAGAGTAGCATATATTATTTGTCTCCAGGCATCTAATGTATTTTTCCTGTAAGTCAAAAAAGTGGCAAGTTGAATATATTCAGTAGCCTGACACAATGCAACTGCTAGTTTATGTGCAATAGAAATGTACCTTGTTTACCAGCGTTTCTGTTCAAGGGAAAGCTAGTACTTCCAAAGTTAAGTTATCTCAAAATGTAAGATAAAACTAAAAACTACTTATGGGGGCCTTATTAAATCTCTTTTGCAGCTATAATTATATGCAAAACTGAATATGATAATAACAGTGCAATAATTTCTGTGACTACTTTTTTCTGTTATTTTCAAAAGGTGACCTGATAAAGTTAAGCCTTCAAAGCAGGGTGTCCTAATAGGTAGTAAAATTTTTTAATTGCTTTACAGATTTGTATCATTGTATTAGCAGATATAGTGATTGTTTTGCCTTTTTTTAGCCAAACTCAGTGTTAGTAGACTCATTCCTCTTGATAGTTTGTTTCTAAAATAATTTGAGATAATTAACTACTATGGAGGTCAAGAGAAGGCTTTTTTACCCAAGTGGCTCAAATTGGTAATAGATTTTGTTCAGTAATTGGAATTCCAGATCACAATTCTGAGTACACTGATGAATGAGATGTTGCAGGTGTTGGCTCTCTAAGAGCAATTTATACTAGTTATATAGTTCATGCTGCCTACAAAGTACATGTCACTTGCCCACACCTTCTAAAGCTGTAAGCAGCAATGTTTACTTAAACATTGTATTGACCAATTGTCCGAATGAAACTTCTATTAACAGCTGTAAAATTCATGTTATTCCTGTCCCAGTGGCTAGGTGTATACTTTTCTAAATACAAATTGAATTCCTCAGAGCCTTTTTAGCAACTCTGGTACGTGTAATTGAGGCATTGGGGAAATCATCGCTAACCAGTTGCTCCCCATTGTGGGTTCTGTTTGTGCGTGTAATGAGAGCTGTATGATTCGAGCATCCCCGATATGTATAAATAACCCTGGTGCATTTTATGCTTTCAGGTTTACATATGCGTTGTTTGGACTGCTTCAGCAGGGAGGGCAGTTTAAACTGAACTTGGGTGTGCATGCACCTGAGGGCAGTGCCCTCAGATTTGGTTCACAGTGGATCACGCTATAGATGTTTTCAGAAGATTTGGGGGGTTTTTTGTTTACTGTGTACCTTCTGCGTAGTGAAATGTTGTTTGAGGACACTTGTTTACTGATTTATCTTTCTACTTCTGCTGTGAGCCCCTGCTTCTTACACTATATCAGTTTTTGCATCTAATTTCTGTTTTACGTTCAAGTAAAAAAAATAAGCGTGCTTAGTGATGCTAATGCATACATTTTTCCTACTTAAGCATCGATGTTCAAAGAATTCTTGCAAGGGTAGGTTGACAGGGTAATAGCACATTGATTTTCCTTTTCTTTTTTTTTCCCCCCATTATGAAGACAGAGTGCTAACGATGTAGAAGACAAACTTAGCATGACCATAAAATAAAACAAAACAAACTTAGGTGCGCAGCTCTGGAGTTTTTATGAGAGAACAACTTCTCGTAAGTACTTCTGTGTGAGAAATACATCCACAGCAAACTTGATAGCTGCCAGAAGATACCTTTGGCGGTATACCTGAATAACCATGTCAGGAGGAGTTAAGGCTCTGCTGTGCTCTACTGATGTCTGCCTGCTTCACATGAAGTCATTTTCTGTTATCCAGCATGGATTTTCGTGCGCTATATGCAGTCAGTGCATGAAAGTGAGTGTGTGGCCTTGCATGGGCATGTGGGAAGGATTATGTCTGGCCCTTAAGTAGTGGCATAAGTTGATTCCTCTCCTCCTCTCCCCTCTTCTGGACATCCTACCAAGAAACAGTAGATGAGCTAAATTAGTGTTGTGTGAAAATGTGTGAGATTGTTTTATTTGTTCTCAGGGCATCATTCAGGTCTTGGCTGAGCTTGTTTTGAATTAGTGATGCACAGAACAGGAATTTACACTGACTTAACTACTAGAGTTTCTCTTCTGTCTGATGCTTCTGTGTAGGCTTGATAAATTAGGAAGCTGTTTCATCAATTCTGAAAAAGCATGTGAAAAACACGTGTCTGTAGAAAGAGAATAAAAGGGAGCCGTACCTATTAAAGCAACTTTTACCAGATGGAGCCCAAAGAGTACTCCAGAGCATTACATCCAGTGTGTACTGGCGTGACCACTATTATTCACCTTTTGCTTACAGTTTCTGTGCAGAATCATGGAGATTCTTTCTTCTGCTTTTGACTTTGGCTGGTTTTTGTTTAAATTTGGGTCCTTCTTCCACTATTTCCTTAAGAATCTTTTCCTTTAATTTCTCCTATATTGCAGCTCTGTGCTGTCATCTCAGTCTCTTCATTTACTTTGGGAATATGGCTAAATCTTACTTTTTTTATTCCAGTAGAAATGTCAGAGCGCTTCCTTTGAGTTTTGTTCATCTGCTGTAATAAACTTTTTTTTTCCTATGATGGAGAACTATTTGCTGTTCTTTTTTCCAATATAGCACCTTCACAGAATCACAGAATCACAGAATAGTAGGGGTTGGAAGGGACCTCTGTGGGTCATCTAGTCCAACCCCCCTGCCGAAGCAGGGTCACCTAGAGCAGGCTGCACAGGACAGTGTCCAGGCGGGTCTTGAATATCTCCAGAGAAGGAGACTCCACAACCTCCCTGGGCAGCCTGTTCCAGTGCTCCATCACCCTCAGAGGGAAGAAGTTCCTCCTCATGTTCAGACGGAAATTGCTTAAGCGATCCCTCACACAGTCCTCCTCAACCAAGGGAAAGTCGTCCTCTTTGTAGGCTTCTTCTTTTACCTCCGGGGCTTGGGATTCCTGAGGGCCTGCCTTGGCACTGAAGACTGAAGCAAAGAAGGCATTCAGTAGCTCTGCCTTCTCCGCATCCTCCGTCACCAGGACACCCACCTCATTCAGCAGCGGCCCCACGTTGTCCCTAGCCTTCCTTTTGCTGCTGATGTAGTTGAAGAAGCCCTTCTTGTTGTTTTTGACATCCCTTCCCAGCTTCAATTCCAGGTGAGCCTTGGCCTTCCTCGTCGCATCCCTGCATGCTCTCACCACGTTTCTGTACTCTTCCCAAGTGGCCTGTCCCTCTTTCCACATTCCGACATTCCTTGTCGGCTGTTTAAAAAAAAACACCTTGATGCAAAATGTGTTGCATATAGCTGTTGGTACATTGGAAAAATACATATTGAGATGTGAGCACTGAAAATTATGTATTCATTTATGAGTAGAATCTCTGGCCTGCAGCTAATTATATAGATGTTTTCTTGGATAAGTCTTGTATTTTAGTAGAGAGAATGTTGAGTCGTCTTTTTACTTCATATTTGCTGTTAGAGAATTACCTGCCTTGAAGCAATGGTTGTGTTCACTTCAATCTGGTTTATTTTTATGTTGCCACTGAAGGAAATGGTATTATGTTTTGCAGGCACTAACAGCCATATGGACAGCCAGACTAGGGAGCTAACGTGTCCAGAACCTAATGTGACCCTGTCCGAAATACATATGCAGTAAAAGGAACATAGCAAGAATGTGGGCTTGGGGTAGGGAAGGAGTCTCAGTGATGCAACTAAAATAATGTGTATTTTTCCACTTTGCTACACAAAGTGGTGGGGATTGTTGTGCTGCATCCTGTCAGGTGGGAATAGGGCTCGAAGAGGTCAGATGGAAGTGGTACACTGGTTCATGCAAGGATTAGGTATTTAGTCTCAAAGGTCTCTGTCACCTGAAAAAAAAAATTCTAATAAATTGTAGCTTTGAAGTCTTTTAAATGATTACTTGAAATTTGTCACAATCCTTGGTCAGCTGTATTATGAATTCAGGGCTGAGAGTAGGATATATTAAATTTTTATTTCATTGCTCATCTGTTCCTTTTTCTCTACACATGCAAGAGCTACAGACTAATTTCCTAGAACAGGAGCTTAGTAGACAGTTTAAACCTCTGATCATTGCTGCACAGGATTTCAAAACCCAAGCCTGAATATGAATCTGGAGTGCAATACCGAACAGCACTATTCTGGTAATGAACTTAATCAGAATTTAAAGACCGATAAACATACAGCTGCCAAATGAAATTTAACTCAGCAGACCTGAAGCAGAAACTTCATCAGCAGGATAAAGAAACCCTTGTATGTAAAATTTCTGCTACTGGAGTGAGTGATAGGTTTCATTTACCCCAAAACATACATTGTTCTATTAGCTGTACTAGCATCAGAAAATTTGCAGAACCGTTTCTGCTTACCACAGACCCGGTCTTGTTCAGGAATCTGAGTCCTTGTCCCTTCCCTGCTTCATCTACCCCTACCATCTCTCCAAAAATAGAAATAAAAAGAATGTGAAACAGCTAAACTTGTAACCTGTAAATATACTTTTTTTTTTTCTTTTGAGTAACTTATGAGAAATGAAAAATGAGGTTAAGCTGTCATCCATTTAGTTATGGAGGTGTGTTATTTGGTAGAAATGTGAAATGAGGGAATAAAGACATGAAAGAGTCGTAATGAAATAAGCAGAAGGTAACTGATCAGCCAGACTGTTCTGCTGATGAGCATGGCATGAGTAGAAGGAGATATAGCTCATTAGATGTTTCCCTATTGTGAATGACCTAAAAGGAAGCATTTCATTAAGTCTTGCAGGTAGTCATCGCAAAAGTGATTTTTTTCTGCCTGCACTGTCAGCTCTCCATAATCACTGCAGGGCTGTTGATTTCTTCTTGAGGTATGAAAGAGTTTCATAATTCACTATGTTAAAATCTGCTGACTGAAGAATACACTAAGGCAGAAAAAAAAAAAATTCCTAGCTTAGGATACTATTCCTGACAATAGCCAGAAGCAGATTGCTGGGAAAGGGAATCAGACTAGAGTAAGGAGATGGTAATGCCTCCGCAGAAGATTCTTCTGTCTCTTAACAACTCGTGATGTGGGAACTTCTTGAGTCAGACCTGGTTTCTGTAAGTAACCTGCAATTAATTTTCCTTCTTTAAACTTACCCAGTCTCTGCGTGAACGTGTGTAACCTTTTAGCATGCGAATAGGAAGAAGTTGTACAGGTTACTTTTTTTTTTTTTTTAATGAAAAGCAATTGCCTGTTGTTTTAATCTTCCTAGCTTAATTTATGATTTCTTTCTTCTTTGGTCAGACACAGCAGTATCTGCCCTCCCTTTCTAGGTACCCATTTCATAGACGTCAGGCATGTTCCCCATTAGAGTTCGGGTTTATTTAGTCATATCTTTAGTCGTAAGACTTGGGCAAACCATGGATTTCTTTGTAGTAGCATTATTTGTTGTTGTTCTTTCTTTCTCTCCTAGTACTTCTAAGAATTTAGCTTGTTCTTTATAAGTTAGTGTCTTGGTAGATTTTTAATAATCCCAAAATGTGTTTTCTGAGCAGTCATGACAATTCCTGAGTAGTTCAGAGTTCTGAGGAGTTTTGATCAGCTTAGAGCTCATCAGTTAGTGAAGTTGGAATGTTTTCTTCCTTCCTGTGCATTGCTTTACATTTCACAGTATGGAATTTAATCTGTCCACTTTTTTATAGGATCTGTTAACCTGCAATATTACCCCACTATTAAATCGTAGATGTTTTTTCTACAATTTTTTTTTTTAAGTCTTACTTTAGCCTTATCTAAAGTCACAATTATAAAGGTATACAAAGATATGGCACCGAACATTTCTTGGAATTCTACGGCTTTTGTGTATCTCTAATTCTGTACATTAATTCTGTGCTAACGGCTAGTTAAAACACAGTGCTCATGTCAAATTTCAAATTCTTTCTTCATACTGGAATTCAACATAATGCAAAAATGGCTACCTCAGTACGATTGCAGTTTTGGTAAGTGGCAGGTGGGAAATTACCTCTTTCAGTGTTTGGAGGGATTCAGTATTTGGAGTTCCACTGTGGACAACAGGTGTTCTGTATGGAACTTCTGAGGGCAAAATATAAAACCTTTTTAATTTATTGAGACTAAATTCATCGCAAGTATGGTATTCACATCTTTGCCCTATCACTGTATGTTGATGATTGTAAAAGACTGACCCATTCATTTCCATGAGATTGCAGTGTTTGAAACCTGTGCTCACAGCCCAGAAGGCCAACTGTATCCCGGGCTGCATCAAAAGCAGCATGGCCAGCAGGGCAAGGGAGAGGATCCTGCCCCTCTGCTCTGCTCTGGTGAGACCCCACCTGGAGTCCTGAGTCCAGCTCTGGAGCCCTCAGCGCGGGAAAGACATGGACCTGTTGGAGTGGGTCCAGAGAAGGGCCACAGAAATGATCCAAGACAAGAAAGCTGGAAAGGGATTTTTACAAGGGTATGGAGTGATAAGACAAGGGGTAATGGCTTTAAACTGAAAGATCATAGGTTTAGATTAGATATAAGAACGAAATTCTTCACTATGAGGATGGTGAGGCACTGCCCCAGGTTGCCCAGAGAAGCTGTGGCTGCCCCCTCCCTGGAAGTGTTCAAGGCCAGGTTGGATGGGGCTTTGAGCAACCTGGTCTAGTGGAAGGTGTCCCTGCCTGAACTACGCAGAATAGTTTGTGAATGATAAGAAGTGATCAAGGTTAGCGTGTGTGTTGCTGACTGAGAACAATGCGTGCATCTTATGGCACGTTGTGTGAAATTAAGACTTTTGGTGCCTGGCTTACTGTTTGGGTTGAAAGTGGCAGCCTTCCACTCTTGTCACAAATGGCTAATCAGCACTGTTTGTATGAAAGTATGAAAGAATTTCAGGAAAGTTGTCCTGTTAGATTCAGCAGTTCTTGAAAAGCCCATGATAGGAATGAAAAAATTCAGTATCTGTTTTCAACTCACATATGGCCAGTTTATGTCATATTTCTAGCCTTGTAGAAACAGATTCTGAAACCTCCAAGTAAGTTCCATACAGAAACTTACTACTGGAAGTGGTCATGTTTAAACTTTATAGGTGTAGATGCCACTCTCTACTAACCGCTGTGACCCAAACGGCTGCAGTTAGTATTTTGACTGTATGGCTATCATCTTTCTCTGGAAAAACTAGTATTCTTGGGTAACTTCTCCTTCAACTTGTATGTCTATACACTGCTTAATTAGGCTTTCAGAAAGCTGATATAATCACAGAATCCTAATAACTCAGGAACAATCAAAAATCAAACCGGCATTATTAAGTTAGGAAAAATTAATAAAAAATTTAGGCTGTGGATGAACACTATCAAAGGCACTCATCTCAGAAATAAGTTATCTAGTGTTACAAAGATGATTGATAACTGCCACAAATGATGCTTTTTTTGAGCTAGATCAGAACACCCTTCTTGCATTTAATGTTTCAGTGATCAAGACTTCATGTGTTACTAATACTACCAATAATTTTGAATATTGCTATAGCTACTGATCCTGTTTTACCTTCAGAGAGATATTTTTGGTTCTCTGCAGCTGAATGTTCCTTGGCTTATCAGTATGAAGTACTTCTGCTGTTAGGTAGCGGTATCGTGGAATTCACTTCTGCTCTTTGCAGCACTCCCCAGCTACTGAAAATTCCTGCATAATATCATGTTACTCCATTAGAGTGGGCTTGCGGTCGCTGTTGTCTCAAACATAATGTGTTTTAATTGTTAGGAATATGGCAAATAATTCTTGCAGTATTAATTCCATAGGTAAGAATCAAAATATAATTCTCCTTTTTCTTAGTGAAATACTAATTGTATAAAACATTGATGATTCTTGACAGAATTTTTACTTCTTGTATGACTCTTGATTCGAAACTTGTAGCTTGTGTCTTCTAGCTAATTCCATATCCTCCCTCTCTTCCCCTCTAATTGTAGCAGAATGGTTCTCTGTGCCTTTTAAACACTGATTTTGCTTCACGTAAGAGAACAAGAGCTATAGTTTCCTCGCTATGCGGGAATATTTTTCAAGTGCTCACAAAAATGTATCCAGTTAGTTTGAGATTGTTCTTTTTTAGGAACAGAGATTTCGAAGCAGCTCATCCTATGCTTGGTGGTTGTTTCAAAACAGAGGTGAAAAGTCGACATAGGTTTTGATTATTGACATTGTGTAGAATTTATTGTGCACTTTCATAGATCAGTGGTCCCCCTTTTCCTTCAAAATGTTTAGCACAATCCGTAATTCAATCAAATACACTTGATTATCCTACCTCCTAAAGTTTACTTTAGTTGTAAACAGCACATTTCACAGCTGCTAGTGAGTAACAAATCTGTACATACTCCAAATTGATTATGAGAGATGAAGTCTGTTTACAATCTGTGGACCATTATTGCTTGGGAGGAGAGAGGGGAGGGAAAAAAGAAAAGTTTTAAATAATCATGACAGCAATTTTCTGTTGAAAGTATTTTCCTATTGGATGTGTTTTGTAGGTACGTGGTAAGACAACACAGGTGTGCATTTCTTTTTAAAAATCTAAACATTCTTCCCTGATGTTGATGTGATGTCGCGTGGGTTGCAAAATGATGATGACCATAACTTATTGTATGAGCTATAGATGATTTAAATGTCATTGAGAGCAGGATATTAATTTTTGGTCGTTAGTGTTCATAACTCACTTTAAGTGCTGAGTATAGCAAACTGTTCTGCAGTTTGATACATCTGAGGAAAAGACTGTGTCCCTTTTAAAACACTATTGACTTTAGTTCTTTGACTAGAATTGAGTTTAAGTAATATGAACTTTAGTCAGTATTTCACTTTCTGGAAAGTTATTCTTGTGTGTGTATACAGACAAATAAAGAATGTGCAATGAATACTGTTGTACAGAGACTGACACAATGATGCAGAGATCCTGTGCAAGTTATTCAGATGGTTTGACATTGTTCTTAACTATGACTATTTGTGATGTTGATTCACCTATTTGCTGTTCATGTTTTTAACAGGAAGACAGTGATCCAGCGGTTCATGAAAGCCTAAGCATAGAAAATACGTTATGGGCAAGCACTGTTGTTGCTTCTGGTAAGGGTTGCAATAGCAAAGCTGATAATGTATCTGAAAACTTTTGTGGAAGTATATCTTTATTTTTACAAAGTGAAATATTAATGAATTTTGAAAATTTTATTGTCTTCCAGGGTATTAATAGCTCTCGCTCCTATTGTCTGCCTTCCCATTGGTTTCGTGATGCTACTCACAATATTTGCATATCTTTTAATCCTCCTTAATAGTTCTTTTTTTTTTTTGCTTAAATTTTGCTGTTTTGTTAGTCCTGTCCCTTGTACCCCACTAAAGTCACTGACCTTTTTGTTTTATTTGCATTTATTAGGAGTTCTCTTTTATGTATACTCCAGGCTGCCAGTAAAAAGAAAAAAAAAAAAAAAGCTTAAAGTCTTTTATCAGGCAAAATCTTAATCAGAAAGTATAGATCACTTACACAGTTATTGAATATTAAAATAATGGGATCTAAATGTTAATTATATTTGATGTTTCAGATGTTATAAGGAATTTACATTATCTAGATGCTGCATTTAGGCTTTAGGCCATTGTAACTTTAAGAGCAGAGAATTATTTTCTTTGGTTTTTGCTCTACGTAAGAGAAGTCGAAAGGACTGTAGAAAAGGGGGCTGTGGTTATTCTTCTGCACAAAAAGGCTGAGAATAAGGAATCGGGAGAGCATGATTTCTGAAAAGGAGCTACGATTTAAGATGGGGAGTTGGAACTACTGGAAACATGAGCCAAGAGGAGGGAAGGGTATGGAGAGAGGGATGGACAGTAAAACAGGATCTCCACCTAAGCTATAGAGTCAGTCCCTACTAGGAAGGCTGCTTACATCGGTGAGGGGCCTGCTGGAGGGCTGTGGGGAAGCGATCGAGTCTGAGGATGTGACAAAGGAGACTGACTGAGCACTCCTTTCCAGAGTCTGGAAAGATAGTCATGTTCTCCGATGCTCGGTGTTGTTTCGTTTGATTCCACTGGGAAACTGTTCTCTCTAAAACCGTTCTGTCAAGTGGATGATGGCTAAAATTGTCCTCGGTTAGGTTTTTAACTGAAGTAGCCAAGATGTGTAATTGTGTGTAAAAAGGTGCTGCTCATGAATTACAAATTTCAATACTGTGTAAATTTGTTTTGAGTTTGCTTTTCCCGAAATTCATAGAAGGGGGGAAACCACATTCAAAGTGTATGCATTTGCAAAATCAGTAATTCTGAATCGGCAATTTTGAATTTAGTTGAAAACCATTCACGTTTTCACTTCCAGGGTAGATGATTTTATTTTGTTTGGAAGTGTAGCTAATGTCTAGGATTCTTGATCTGCCATCTAAAGTTGGCAGCCAAATTAATGGAAACAGTGCTCCTTAAAATCTGTGCCTTAGCATATGTTTGGGTTTTTTACTTCTGAGGGGTCTTGTGAAGGTTAAATTGTTTATGAAGGACTTGGATTCATTATTAATGAGGGCAGTAGAAAAACATAGGAGAAGATAATTCCCTTGTTAGAGCGTGGTTTTGTATAGTGGAATAGGACTCTGAGGGAGACTCAGGGCAGCTGACTGTATGATACAAAGTAAAAATATCGAATGGCTCTTCAAGACTGCAGCCCCTTCTGAAGGCAAAAATAACATGTGATCAAGTAATTAAAAATGGTGTCGTGATGTGCATACAGAAGTTAGTTGAATTAAGGTAGAGAGAAATAATTTCCTTCAGTAACTGGTTTTGTGACGTATAATTGTATCTTAATCTAAACTTTGGCATATCATTCATTTTACTTGTGTCATCTCATGTAATAACTACAATTTAATACTGTAATAGTGTGCTCCTCTCACGTAAGTGCTGCAGTTATCAAGCCTGTAAGATTTCTGTTTGGATATTTGCTTGTTCTGTATGGCATCATAAATCCAGATCTTAAGAATTGCTCAGTACCTCTGTGGAGGTAATTTTAAAATTTGACAGGATTAGGCCCTTAACAAAGAGTAGGAAATTACGGCGTTCCGTCTGTTACTTATCTGAGGAATAGCTGCACTGTGCATATAGTCATGAAGAAGACCATAAGGCCAAACAATGAGTAGATAGTTAAAATTAAGGTGTTCTAGATTTGATTGATAACTGATGTATCATTCAGTTGTTTTTATCTCACTTCCAGGTTGAATGTAGTAGCTGAGTTAGGATACTTGATGCTAAGCTAATGAAATCTGAATTTTTGTAGTTTTTTAAAAAATTAAGACTTCATAATTGAATTTCCAAGATTTGTGACAACTGAAAATCTTGTCCGTGTCTGACTGCGTTATCAACACACGTAAACTGCCTTGCTTAAAGCCTGCCATGGCAAGATCTCAGAGGTGGACTCTGCCTGCACAAATTTGCAGGCACCTCTGCATCCTGTCACAGTTGTTGATTATATCTGAAGAAATTAGTGGAAAATTACGCTTGCACACAACCTCTGCAGATGAGTCCCCCTCGGATTCTATGAAAACAGAAGAATAAAGAGCCTGCAGCATGTGAAAGCCTGTACTGTTTTTCTACTCTGTAGACAGCTGCCTCACTTCAACCATGCTTGTATCTGAGTCTCCTCACTGTCTAGGCTCACAGTTCTGTTACATGCAGGTGTGTTTTACCCAAAAGTATGTGATATCTATGTGCAAGCCTAATCTTCTTGTTACTTTTCCACTTTGATTCAAGAAAGTGGGTTTGTAGCCTGTGCCCAGATGGTGGGGGGTAGAGTTCTGCCCTGCAACATTGCTTGTACAACTCTTGATTTACCTTTAGACTCTTCAGTATGGCAGTGTTTAAGGCATCCTGGCTTGGAAGGCTGCTTCCTCCAGTGCTCTGTAAGCAGCCTGGACATCATTTGGTACTAAATCAAACAAATATGTGACCCGTTGCTCTTGGGACTCTGTTACGCCTTTGCCAACTCCTTGGAGGTTGTTACAAAGCGTTTTTGGTCAACCTGTACTATTATCTTGACCTATTACTGACTGATGCTGTCAGTCTGCAGGGTGGAGACAGGGAGCTACATCACTGACACCCAGGAAAGGAATACGTAGCTGAGTTGCAGATACAAAGCCTTATCTAATTTTAAAAAAGGTTTTGCATAGGACATACAGGACAGTTGTTGGGTGAGGGCATTCTCCTTCCTGTTTTCCTCCTTCCAGTGATTAAATATGTGCTGAATTTCCTGATATTCTCTTTGGCATATTAGATAAACCACACTGCATCAGCTAGGAGAGCCCACTGTCTCCAAGACACACGCCGTTGCCATTTGTCAAGAGGGTCAAGGTCAGGCTAGGAAAAGTGTGTGGGAAATTATGTGGGGAATACCTCAGAAAACTTGGGCTCTGGTAGCTGATGTCCGGACAATTTTAGAGGAGAGAGACCACAAATCAATCATCTTGCAGATCAGTAACAGTAAATGTAAGTGTATAAAGGTTTCAAGGAATCTTATCAACTACAGGTTGAATGCAGATTGCCAAAGCTCATGAAAACATCACGGTACTACAATAATGGATTCTACAGAAAAAAAAAAAGCCTATTGCTAGAGCAGTACAAGTGGCAACAAAAATATTTTCTATGATGAAGACTATTTTTATGTTCTTTTTGAATTTTGGGAACCAAAAAATTGGTTAAACAAATTCATATAGTGTCAAACAACTCAAGAATAAACTATTCCACAGCCTTTTTATATCAACAAATACAGTTCAGAAGAATGAGATTCCTCCAGTTTGTACCTTTGGAAGGTGTTTACTTTCCTTGGTTTCAGTATGTCTCCTTACTCCTTACAATAACAGTAAGCTAAAAGGGAAAAAAAAAAATTTCCATTTTGTCACACCTAATATGTGCTTTATACCCAGATGTTCTAGTCTCAGAATTGATAGTTTAGATATCTAAATAGAGACTCCTCCTCCTACCAAACCTGAAGTGCTTTCTGCCCCTTGCTGCAAAGCCCTGAAAGAGATCTGGTGACCTGCGTGTGCAGTGTTTCTCCTAACCACAGAAAGTACAGAGACTAATTTGCCAGGATCACACTGGGAGCTTCTGGCAGGGGTGGAGATCAAAAGCACCTCTCTCAAGTCCAAAGCATGCAGCTATCCTTTTGTTATTCTTTAAGAAGTGAGCTAGGAAAAAATATTCTGACGTTTTCCACTTACAGGCAGCATCCCAGTGGGTTTCAAAAAGGTAGCAACAAGGTACGGAGTCTGTGTGTCATTCTTAATACCTATAATATTGCTGTGGGATTTATAATAGTGCCTGGAGGACAGGAAGATTTGGTTAGTGAAAACCTGAAAAACTGTTGTCACTGAAGAAACAAGTTTGAATATAACCAAATAATTTAAACCAGTAAGCATTTTGAAAACCTCTTAGGTTATCTTTAATTAAATTACTTATCTTTCAGGTCATTTGTGACATCACTGACTGTGGTGTTTGTGTTTATTGCAAGCTTCAGTAGATTTCCTTTCAGGAAGAGAGAGAAGAAAGTCAGCAGTTAAATTTTAAAAAGCCTCAGAAGGTCCATTACAGTATGGACCTTAACTTTGTGCTCCCCATTTACTGTAACGATCAGGGTGGTTCAGCCTCTCAACAAGATAATGTGGTTTTCTGAGAGACCTGCTGAGATGTCTGTTGAGAGGAGATTTGTGTTAATGGAATTTTGTGATCATTTCAGCAGGTGTCAGTCTTGCAAAGTCACTTTAGATAAAATTGGAACAATTTGTATAACTGCACAGCTGTAAACAGCACTATTCTGTGCAAAGTCCTACACATGATTTTAATTAATTTGAGCACTCTTGTTTTTGTATGGTTCACATAGTGCTTGGGAGATACCAGAAATTAATATGATCACACACCAGATTCAGAGTATGCCTGAGTCTTTTTGTCTGTTAATTCTGCACAAGTCAACTTCTGTCTCTTTTCCAGGCCCACATGTTCTAGTGGTATCTCCTGTAACTTCTCTCTCCTTCATTAACCACTCTGTCCTTACCAATCAGTGGTTTCCCCAGTTTACATGAGAGCCAGCTCGCGTAGAGGCCCATACGTAGAAATACTGAAGTCATTTTAATGAGCCCAAGCTTGTAGTACATCTGTGCTTCCAGGAACCCCAAATTGGATTTAGTTTTCTCTACTGTGGGCCAGGGTGGAGATCAGTGCAAGTATGCATCTTTCTTCACAGCTGGTATTAAGCTTAGATTTGCTGAGGATAACGAGTGAGAATAGTGGGTAAAAAAAACCCTTCAGAACACCAGAAGGGTCCCTCGTGCAAGCACTGTGGGACAAGGCTAAAATTAGGCTCTGAGTTCCCCACACTGATGTAATTCAAGTCTGAGGAACCCTAGATTTACCAGTGATGCTGTGCTAGTAACTAACAGCCCCAAAAGTTTAAAATCAAAGATCAATGCCTCAGTAAAAGCAGCAGCTCAGCCAGACTTAGCCCAAACTGTGACCAAAATTTGGTAACCAAAAGGGATTTTTTTATCTGACTTTCACCTTTGAAACCAGCTTTTCAAGGAACAAAATAGAAGACAAGTAGGACAGCTTGCTCTCCTGAGCTGTAGCAGCCGAGCCAGGTGAAGTTTACTGGGAAGGTGCCATCTGGAACAGAGAAGTTCTCCCAACTTTTGTTGAACTGAGGAGCTACAAAGGCAGAGATTGTAGGGATGTGGAGGAGGGGATTCCCGACTGTCCACTGTGTTGCGACCGTTGGACAGAGGTCATCTCAGAGGATCGCTCAAAAATAAAGTGCCCCAAAGGAATATGGGCGTTGGTTGGAGACCAGTAGAAGGAGTTCAGAAATTATGGATCAATGGCAATTTTACAAAATTCAGTAATAATTTTGGGGTGTTTTGGGGGCTAATGCCTATATACTAATGTGCAGATTTGCACGTGGAACTGTCAGCAGAGTCAAACTAACTTTGTTGTTCCCTTGTTGCATCAAGGGAAGTCTTAAGAAAAAGCTTTAGTATGGAGAGGAAAATAACAGAAAAACTAATTTTCAGTTGTCCAGAAGATGTAATGTAGAATCACTGATGTTTTATATGTGGGTTCAAAGTTTTCACTTGCATTCTCGTTTTTGAGTAACTGAAACTTCCTTTCTTTAATGCCTACATCTTTAACTGTCATCTTTTTGTTTTGTTTTGTTTTGTGTGTGTTCCTTCAACATTTTACACCCTGTTCTGCTGTAAGAGTAGTGATAGTAGATCTTACACGTGGTCCTGATTGCCAAAGACAAACTAAGTTACTTAATGGCGGACAAATGTGTAATACTTGTACAGTTTTTAAAGTTTTCTAGGCAGGGTGTTTCTGACAAGTTATGTTAGTTATAACTTTATAACACAAATACAACAAGAAAACCCACAGTATTGGTTGACTAAGTAATAGAAATAAGGTTTTTGGTTTGTGCTGTAAAGTGTGATACTGGCATATTAATAAAAACCTATTTTTTAATTTAAAATAAATATGTATTTAGTGATGCTGAAGCCAAGTTTTCCTATACCATCCAGTAAAAACTGACTAAAAGATAACTGGAATGGGGGAATCATTTTTACAAGTTAATGAACAGGAAAATATTTTTATATGGGTTTCTAGCAAATTAATGAATTGAGTGAACTAGATTTTGCATCACTATGGATGACACAGCTGGCAGGGACTTTGTGTATGATCCATTCAGCGCTGTTGTACTAATTTTTGTTTTCCTTGTGAAGGGCAGTTATTTATGTGTGTGTTAACTGCTGAAAACAGTTGGAGACAATAGTAAGTTCAAATAGAAGTTTCTAACCAGTTAGATTGAAAGTATTGTTTCCATTAAAAAGAAGGAAAGCATGTTGTCATTTTAATGGCTGTTAATTAAAGAAGTTATAATGATCCTTCATAGGCAATTCTGGAAAACAACATTCACAATATTATGTACATTGCATAAATGTTTGGGCTTTTTCATACAACTGATTTGCTTGAGAGACTGTAAATTACTGCAGATTCTAATTCAGCCAAATTTTGTCTTCACTGCTTGACACCTCTGTTTTATTTTTTGCTCATTTGTTTTTCAGGAACTGTAATTGGTGTTGTCATTTACACGGGAAAGGAAACTCGAAGTGTAATGAACACATCCAATCCAAAAAATAAAGTAAGTTAGCCTTACTGTGGGATTTCCTACTTTTGTTTGCATAAGACTTAAAAACAGATCTACCTAAAACAAAAATCTACAAGCTTTTACTGTGATGCATTTGATGTGTACTGGACTGACTTGAACTTTGGTGTGTGAAGTGAATTCTGCCTCAGTCTCATTTTGGAAGTAAAATTATTCTTCCTTTAGCTAGGAGTGTTACGAGTACTGATGGAAACGTTTCTTTGATGTGTAAGGGTACATCTTCAGACTTCTATATTTCTGTCTCACAGCTAAATATTAATTCCCATTTCACTTCTCAGATTATTTTACTGTAAAGTATTTGGCCAAAGCTACACAGTAGTTTTAAGGAATGTTTATAACAGACTACGGAAATTTATTCGGGCTCACAGGGGAAGTAGAGCAAGATAACTGAGGTTCCAGTCAGTACCCAGAATGCTCTTCCAGGGATTTATGTAAGCGGTGAAAATATTGTCAGGAAATTTGTCTGTTGAAAAGATAGCAGAAGTTTGAGTGCTTCTCTCTGTACAAAGGTTCTTTCAGTTCAGAACAAAGCAAATAGCTCTTCATTTCATTGGTAGTGTTTCTAATGTGAGTTGGGGAGGGCCCTCAATTATAAAGAAATGAAACTTCAGTTGTAGGCTGTATCTTACAACCTATACCTGTGTTTAGTAAGGAGATACTTAATTACGTTAAGAAAGGAAAACGTTCTTGCAAGAGGGTTAGAAAAAATCAATTGTGACAGGTTGGCATTTTCACGCCATTCATAATAAGTTGTTCTGAGTAGGAACATCAAGAATGAAATGATAATACAAATTGCTTGAAGCGGTTATTGCAGTCCCCTGAGTGTATTGATTTGTATTTCTAATAAAGAGATGCTTTTAAATGTCTCATTGACTGAGACAGGTGATATGTACCATTATGTGGATTAAGATGGCCTCTTATTATTTTAATCGTTGTAACATACATTTTAAAATAATAGAGTAAAATGGAACCAAAATGTTTATGATGCATAATAATTTTCTGTTCCATCTGATACAAAGATGAGCCCTTTAGTAACAGAATCTTTCTTTAAGAATTCTGAACAAATTCTGACTGATAAATAATACTCACAGGTGTTTAAAATGAAATTATTTAGTATAGTAAATTGATAGGAGAATGTGTGTGAATGTAATATGCTTTATGCAAATTCAACAGATTCTGGAGATGTCTTAGATTTTTAGTAAATGTTTGTTAAAATTTTATTTGCATGAATGTTTGATGCAAAAACTATCATAAAGGGTAAAAGGATTTGTGTTTAAAATTTCCCTGATGTTTCAAAATTGCTATTAATATTAAAATAGTTGCTCCAAATTTACATCAGCAAAAGGTTAAGTAGCAGATAAATCTACGAAAAAGATCCAGCAGGATGTTGACAAGCTGCAGCATGGCCTTTAACATTATGACAATGCAGGTACCACCTTTACTTGCATAATGCTTTAATGTTACAGCTGCTAACAATTAAGTGTTGTGTTCTTTGATCTACAGTGGGAACCTAAAATAACTTACAATTTTCAGGAAGCACCAGGAAGTGAAATATTATATGTACACATGTACACGCATGCGCATACACGAACAGAGCCAAACCCTAATAATATTATCTGGCATATGTTGCACTGTCAGTATGCGAACACGATCTAAAATAATTAGCTTAGGAACAATTCAAGGGAGGTTTAGACTGGACATTAGTGAGCATTTCTTCACTGAGAGGATGCTCAAACCTTGGAACAGACTTCCTAGAGAAGTGGTCGATGCCCCAAGCCTATCAGTCTTGAAGAGGCCTTTGGACAGTGCCCTTAATAACGTGCTTTAACTTGTGGTCAGCCCTGAAGTGGTCAGGCAGTTGGGCTAGATGGTCATGGTAGGTCCCTTCTAACTGAAATCGTCTATGGTATTGTGATTAGAAAGCATACTTTTAAATAGCATTTTATCTGCCACTGAAAACAGGTGGTGCTTGTATAGCTAAACTGTACTCATAGTTGTCCAAAGGCCTTTCAAGGGGTCATTGACCTATTAAGATGTCCAGTATTCGAAATATGTATATTCATTTGTTCTTTGGAGGTGTTTAGTTCTTTGTACTATAGTTAGTTGATAGGAATCTACCAAGTGTGAAGAATGAGGCTTAATGTACTATAGTATTTGTAAAATTACATGCTTTAAATGTCTCTGCCTTGGTAGTTGCTCTATAGAATATTTCAAAAATTGAAGAATTGATCTTACACTGAGCAGGTGAAGACTTTCTCTAGAGCCTGTTTTCTTCATCGGCTGTATCAACTCTGTCAGCTGTCTTTCAAATTATTCTGTAAATGTGTGAGAAGTCTTGTGTGGACCAATTGGTCAACAACAATACTGGCGTGGGGTTTTTCTCTCCATGGACTGAGCATCTTTGTTTAAAGCAGTAACCTACAAATAATGTAACCAGTAAGGATGGATTTGGGAACTGAAAACAGAAAAACACTTAAGCCTATCACAGATGACTAAATGATAAAATGCTGTACTTCAGTGTAAAAAATAGTTGTCAACATTTTGAACATATATTTTCAACTCTGCTTTTCTGTGGAGTTAGAATCTTACTGTCTCTGTGAATTCTACCATGGGGTGAGATTGGTTTGCATACTGCTGTAAGATGAGACACTGCCGGTAGGTGCTAGCTGGGCTTGCAACAGGTAGTCAAGCAGTAGTCAGTTCATTCCTTCTCTATCTGTTTGGGGGGCGGAATCTTCCTGTGTTTTCTCAAGCTTGACAATAACGGTTACATGTTGGATAAGGTCTGTAACATTAGGAACCTAAGGAGCGCAAAGGGAGTCTAAAATAGGCTTTGAGATTAGAAGATGTATTACAGTTGAGAGATTAAAGATTCAAACACTTAAAAAAAATATAAATAAATCTGCACCTAACTGTTGCTGAGACAAGATTGAAATTAAATTGATCAATTGTCATACTGCTGTAAACGTGAGAGGAAACAAGTCTGCCCCCTCTTCTGCTTTAGAGAAGAATTGTTCCAAATACTATTTGGAACTGCTTTTAAATGTCAGGCTGTCTCTCTGCTGCTCTTTGAAAACAAATAAAAATAGTATTCCATAGATTTTCCTGTAAAATGTGTTGATGTGCTGGTGTTGGGAATATAGTTCAGTGATGTTTGTGTCTTCTGGCTTTGGGAGAAAGCAAACACCGAGATCTATGGTTCTCAGTTTACATTGCCAAACTGAAACTTCTAAGTCAAGAAATAAACACGACATAAATGGGCTTGACTCTTCTATCATTCCTCTCTTCATTGAAATACAGATAGATGCTTCAGTTGTGTTTCTTGCTGGAGTATTAACATTACTGCTGTACTTTTACTATTCAACTGGATTTTTCTAGTGGCAAATTTTTAGTTTTCCTTCTTAAGGGTAGATGCTTTTTGACTAAACGAGTATTAAAATTTAGAGATGCAGACCTGCTCTGTAAACACTGAGCAGAAGACTAAAACTGAAATAAGTTTAAGCAAACGTACATATGAAAAATTGTGAAATGTATGTACCTGTTCAAGCATGTGGTTTGTCTGTGTGTTAAACTTAGAAGGATTTATTGTGTTTGCTGAAGTATTTAGTCATTCAAGCAACAATTTCCTTAACTTAAAGTCAACACTTTGTTGTTTTATTACAATTATAAAAATGGTTTCATTGCCTAAGGATGCAGACACGGTCTGAAAAACACAAAGATAAAGAGAAGAGAATTTTCTTAATGGAACAATTCAGTATGTTTTTAATTCCGAACAATATAAAGAAAAATTATTTCTGACAAGGTTTAATTTCAGTCTAAAATGATATATGTTTTGCGCTGTAGATAAATGTAGAAATGGTAACATCAACATTATTATAGTGTAATGACTCTCTGCATTTTAGCTCATTGGCAGTCACATCAGCTTACTCAGGAATGCAGTTCCAGCCCTAAAAAAAAAAAACAAAACCCCACCAGATTGAATTGTGCTCCTCACAGTGCTGTAATCAGTAATCAATCCTATTTGGATAGATATTCTTAAACCTTGGCTTTCTGGATGAAGTTGGACTTGTCAATGCTAAAGGTCATTTATAGGTGTTAATTAACCAAGAGGGAAATTAACAAACTAAGGTTATTTATTTATTTTGTCTGGCATTTTGCAGTATACTAATTCCTGCCTATTTAAAGTGTGGAATAGTTTGTTATCTAAATTCAGAATTGCTTTTGCAGTTTTGGTGTTCATAGAAAGCAAGATTGTTAGTACAGCCCTTCTGCAAATGTGACCTGTTTCCATCAGTGGCAGCAGATTTTGGGGGTTAAGGTTAAAAACCCACAATATACGTGGACAGAGGTGGAAATAAATTCGAGGGAATGTATATTGTGTACTAAGATTGAAACGTTAAAATTACTTGGACTATGCAATATATATACACACTCAGAGTGTACATAGTAATGCATCAAAATGAGTAGAAATTACCTTAAATAGAACTCCTGAGAAATCAGTAGCCTCTGTAAAGGAGCTACAGCATGTAATCTGCCTGGTGTGCTTGAAATTAGTACAAAAATAGTTTTTATATTGCTGATCCTTACAAGCAGTGTTCAAAACACTTATTTTTTTGCCTTCTATTATGAAATTCTACATCTGCTGTTACGTTTTAACATCAGAAGTAAAACTTTGTAGTAACCATTCAGTGTTCGTCAAAATAGTAATACTGATTTTTCCCTAATTCTTAGCTAGCCTGAAAGCTAAATGCTACATCTTGCGGTTGGTGCTTGCTGATTTTGTAAGTGTTGGTTGTTTGGGGTTTTTTTTTAAATTCTAAGAACTGATGTTTTTGTTGTTGTGTGTGTTGCCCTTGGTTTTTTGAAAATGGCCTCACTGGTGAGCCTTGAATTAATAAAAAAAATATTTCTGTTGTGGTAAACTGAGGCAAAATCACTTCATCTCTCTCTCTCCCCTCTCCCACAGGACGTCTCTT